GCAGTCAGGGAAGTTCCCTTTCCCTTCTTTTGATTTACTTGGCCATGAGGACATGTCCTCAGTTTAAGTGTGGGGTGGGGATAGGGATACTTCATTGTATGTTTGTAATTATAACAATAAACTGTTTTCTTTGGTTCTTTTGTCCTGCTTTGATTGTGTTGGTGTTAGAACAATAGTCATTAGGTAAGTAAAAATAGTAAATGACTTGTCCCGACGATGGATCTCGTTCGACGGGGTTCTTGAGGGACTAAGTCGAAAAAACAAAAAAAAAATGGAATATAGAGACTCTTCCTGATGACGGATCCTTTAGACAATTTTCTTGAGGGAAGTTAGTCTAGAGAAAATACAAAAAGATTTTTTATTTTATTTTTAGGTAGTGTAACAACTCCCCCCTTGGTTTTTCTTTGGGCCACAGTTCTTTTCCAAGGCTTTATCTAGAACCGGGTATAGGTAGTTTTTGTTTTGTTTTAGGTTAGGATTAATGGGCTACGAGTTAAGAAAAAAATCCTTAGCGTTTCTACACCTAAACACGATAGACACTAGAGTGGACACTAGAGTATAACGCTTAGCTTCAAGGGTTGAATCTTGTTTAAGTGCATTAAAAGTTGTATGTTTGTATCTAACTTGAACACTCAAAAGAGAATGTCTTGATAAACTAATCCGGAGTGAGTCATGTGCCAAGTGTGTGTGAGTGTTACTGTATTCCATGCTTTACATTTGATGCCTAGAACTTGCCCTGTGTGTTTGCGAAACGAAATAGTAGCTTCATTCAGTTTTAGAAGTGATATAGGCATTTCTTTGTTGAGCCAGACATATAAAGTAAACCCACCTGAATGCATTACATCTTAGTTAACCCCGTTGAGCCTATAAGCCTGTTTCTTTGGTAACCACATTGTGAACCTTACCCAATTGTTTGAATAGCCTGCTGTTTGAACCAATTTTTCCTCTCACTAAGCACTAGAATGGTATTGAAAATATGCAAAAGCAAAAGTGTGGGGTGGTGGTTTGGTTTTTGAAGTGGAACCATGGAAATAGAGAAAAGGTGCAGAATGTTGAAGCATAAAAAGAGAAGCACCACAGAAAAAAATATATTATATAGTGATTGATAAGTGGTAGCTTGTACAAATTGCACCTAATGTATGGGGATGTTTAAATAAATGTGGTGGAGTGTTGGCTGACAAAATGATGATCTTGAAGTTTAATGTAATTGTATTAAAAGTGCTTAGGGAGGTTAGTCACTATATCCAAATATATCCTACCCGTCCCTTAGCCTACATTACAACCAAATAAAGTCCTATTGATCTTAGACTGAGTGGGGCTCGATTAGTAGAGTACTACACTACGGGCAAGCCTATGGTGCATCTTTGTGGCATGTGAATGTTCTTTTTGAGAGCGAGCGAATTTTTTTCTATCTTAGTTCCTAATTGTCCTAAATATCATTGTATGTGGAACTACTCTCTTGTGTGATGTGAGGGCATATGATTCACAACGGAAAGGTAAGTCTTGACTCTCGTATAAAGTGGTTTGAGTAAGTGTGAATGTGCATGGTACGACAGATTTGATTCTTGAGGAAAGGTTGCTCACTACTAGTTGCAAATCTTGTAAAATGTTCATGGTGTGAGTCGTTAAGGGAAAAGCTTAGAAAAGAAACCTTGTAGGATGTAGTGGATTGCTCGAGGACTAGCAATGATTAAGTGTGGGGTGTTGATAATAGGCTAAATTGTATAGTTTGGCCTACGTTCGGGCTCTAACTTAAGGATGCTTTATTGTTGTAAGTATGTAAATAATGCAAAAAATTGGCTCGAACGGTGACTTTGGTGTTTCACAGGAGTGCAATAATCAAATGAGGGCTTATGATGGTGATCCGGGCAAAAATTGGAGTGAATGGACGAAAATTGAAGCAAAGCGCATTTGGCAGTGGAAAACCCCAGTAGCGCGGCTTTAGCGCGCCCGCACTAGTCCAGCAGCCCAAAACAGTAGGAAACCCCACTAGCGCGGGCTTAGCGCGGCCTTAGCGCGCCCGCGCTAGTCCAGATGCGGGAACAGTAATTTTAAAAGGGCAATTCCGGAAGTCCAGGCAAATCTACACCAACTATAAAAGGTTTAACAAGTCCAATAAAGGAGGAGTTCGAGTTTTTGAGAAGAATCAAGAGACGCAAGGAGGCAACTTGGAAAAATAATTTTATTCTCCCTACTTTATTATTCTATCAATGACTATGAATTCTTTTGTAGTTTTTATCGTTATTATGAGTAGCTAAATACTTTAATCTAAGGTTTTGGTGAAACCCGTTGGGGATAACTTGGTTGTTATATTAATATAGTTTTGAATTGGTTTTAATCTCTATTTGTTCATCTACGTTTTGATTGTGGTTAATTGAAAGGGCCCTCAATTATCCGTCCCTATTTAGTATGTATCTGCTTGAGAGAGAGTGCATATTTAGGTAGCTGTTTGAACAACATCACTCCCAGAGTATAGACGAGAGTCATAACCGAGGGTTTAGAGGTTGGTTTAGAGATAACGGTACCTCGGGTGCAATCTAAGTGAACTGTAATGAGAATCTAGCTAGCGTAGCTTGAGAGAGTGCATCTAGTAAATTATCATAATTGCTTGAGAAAGATTTATGATAGCTGGAGAGTTCATGATTGATTGAGATAACTAAGTCACAGTTATAAGACATATACAACCAAGGAAATCAACAACGGGGGAAACCATTACCTTAGACCTTATTCCAATTGTTTACACATCAAGCATAGTTAATTTTCAGCTGTTTATTTATTTTCAGTTTTAGTTGTTAGAAATATCATCAACTGTTAATCACAAAGTTTGGGGAAATTGATTCTGTGAATTTCGTAAGTCCGACAAGAGTAACTGATAGGTTAATTCCCTGTGGTTCGACTCTGGGTAGAATTACTCAGATTATATTTGCAACGTCCGTGTGTCTTTTTATAAGGCATAGTTTGGCGTTATCATTAGTCACCATCACGATCTGAATGTTAGGATTTAGGGTTGTAACACTGAAAGAGCCACATCTTGTGTTTGACTTATTGACTTGAAAATTATTCTTTTTGTTCTCTTTTCTTTTTAGTCTGTTCTAAAAGATTACACTTCCAATAACTAGAAACTCTTTAAACTTTCCAACATCACCCTTCATGATGTACTCTTATAGCCATACAAATGTCATGAAATTTTTAAGATCACAACTCCCATTAAACACTTCTGGTATGGGCCAATTTTTTTTCTTTTCTTTTTAAACTTCATGCTCAGACAAGCACCGTCATTAAAAATGAAATGGAGGTGGTAGTGGTTTCATATAAACTTGGTCAGACTCCACTTATTGGTTTCTAGAACCCCTTTAGGTATCTATTCATTTGCTTCTTATATATAGAACCATAGCCATTATTATAGTTCACCTTTTCTTATGGAAGTACTGGAAGGTGGACATATTTTATCGTATTTATTTTTACAATTTCTTTTTTTTTTTAAATTGGTTTAGGTAAATCACAAAGAAACGGTAGAACCATAAAATATTAGTGAAAAAAATGGTTTAGGTTGTTGATCTGTCTCTGGACCCGAGTGCCGCGAGTGCCAGTGCTGAAGAATAAGTTCATTATAACCACATCATATACTACAAGTATTAGTCATATGAGATCAAATTTTCTCAACTCAATTGTTTAGTAAAAAAAACAAAAATAGAATTATAATAGGATGTTATATGCCCGTTTCTCAACAAGAAAGATTTTGTTGAACTTGGATTCAAGCCCTTGTTGTATGTGTTTCATATTCTCTCCAAATCTTGGTCCATGCATATTTCTTTTCATAAGGGTTTTTGCAGATTTGTGTGTGGATTCTTGATGCTATTAGTGCAGTAACTGATCTTACTCCCAAGAGGATATGATTGCCTTTTTAGTGTCAACTCCCCAATAACTAGTATATGTTATCTGTAAAATAAGTTCTAGTCCCCATGGAACAGCTCAATAGCCATGAAACTACGCATCAAACAATAGTCAGAGGCGGATTCAGAATTTCAAGTGGATGGATATACTGTTGTGAAAAGGTGGATCTAGAATTTATATTTGACGGGTTTAACTTTAGTCTCTTACCATGAACTCACTATATTTTTGAAATTATAGGTTCATAATGATATTCTTTTTGAAATTTTAGTAATTTTCACATAAATATCTATACTCCGTACCGAAAATAAGACAGTTCAAAGTGAAATTTTGAACCACCAATTTCACTTGTAGAGGTGCACCCAATAATAATTGCATGATAGGTGTCTTTGAGCATAGGTTCATGTACATATATTTAAGTAATTTTAAAGAAATGTCGCATTATTATACATAATTTATAGAGAATAGTATGGGTTCACGTGAACCCATACCCCTCCACCTGGATGCGCCTGAAATTATGTTACAATTCGAATTCAAGTTAGTATCTTGGTGGTTTATTCTCCTGGTTAATCAAAATTTATAAATTAAACTAAAGTGGCACAGCTGCAGCTTATTTTACTGGGTAATATCAATCATTAAAACCAGAAAAAATTATCAGGCCTGGAGTCTATAACAGAAGGGCTTCCACTAGTTTAAAGAGCACAAATTTGACCCAAAATTTCACTTGACTACTGCTACTCAGTGAACTTCTCTAATTCTTTTTATAAAATATGTCAAAAATAGAAATAACGATTAAGCGAGAAAGCAAGGCCTGACAATGAAGAACAAGGAAACCAACCTACCTAAATGATGTACTTACTTTCCTAATTTATGTTTTCATATTCCCGAATAATATCTTTTCCAACAAAAAGAAAAAGCTTAAAATGAACAATACCCATGGAAAAGTATATAAACGTTATCTTTTACCTTTTCCATACAATTTTCATTCTGTTTTACAAAAATAAAGGTCCATATATGATCTAACATTTATCTTGATGAGTATTATTTCGTAAAAAGTTTTAGTTTTTTTTTTTTTTTTCTAACAGAGGAAAGTTAAATTAAGACAGGAATTAGGCAAAAATATCTTCATTACAAAAGAATGGAAGTAGACCATTCTCATCATTCACACGCCCCATTCCAGGTAAAGTAATAAAACATATTCGCCATGTCCAGAAATTTGTATCAAAAGTACAATACAGAAACAAGGTACAGAGCATGAAAAAGCATTTATGAAGTTGTAACTGCAGTAGCACCAGAAGTCACCGATGGCGGTTTGAGAATGATTTCCACATTGTCATGAACCCCTTGCAGGAGGAGCTCGCCATCGTATGTAAGTATTTTCCTTTTCTTTGCAGCTCTTAATGTCCCAACGAGCGCCTCAAAGATGTTGGCACATCTATCATCATGAAACAGCACACCGAATGTTACCTGAACAACAAAGCTATAGATTTCAATAAAAGTCGATAAAAAGGGATGAAACAAGCCTATCAATTTTGTGATTTCAAAAGATCAGATATTCAAATACCAACCAACAATAGGTGCTTTAATTATCTACCTTAATCCTAGTGATTTGTTTCCTGAGACAGGAATAGAGTACCTAGTAATTTTTCTAAATGTGCTGATTTCTCACGCTCTTTTAACCAAAAAGTTTGGAGTTTAAACTAGTTCTATCCAAGAGATGAGAAAAGATTTCTACACTGTAGAAATTAACATCATATGCCCGGGAGCTTTGTATGATCCATCTTTATTCTCGTCGGAGTTACAAGCACCACATAGATTTCAAGAATCTTTATATGATATATCATGCATTCACTAGTAGATGCAAGAATGAATACAGGCAAAGCAATACAGACCCAGTTTAAGGCTTCGCTAAGCTTTTTTTCTTTGACAAAGTAACTTAAAAGCTTTGCTGAATAAGAGACTAAAAACAACCATTTATCACAATCTTGCTTCCAAGTAACATTAACGTGTGTAAGTATAAAACATGTGGAGTGGTTAACTAATAAATGAAATTCAGCTTCGATTGAGCGAGAAACCTAGTTTAAAAGAGCAGTTTGAGATTGGAGCAGGCAAACAGAGAGTTCCATTTTCTCTACTCAAACGATTCACTTTCATGAACCATAGGAATAAAAGTTTCATAGTCAGCAGTTTGTGCTATTAGATCTTAACAGTGGCACCAACAATGTTTCAACTAACTACAACAACATACCCAGTATTACCCCGCATCGTGGGGTCTGGGGAAGACAGTGTGTAGGCAGACCTTACTCCAGTGTTTGAAAAAGCGATCGCTTCGTCGCTTTAAGCGACCACCCATCGCTTTTCCCAGCCTGAGGCGACTCGACCATGTGAAGCGTGCGCTTCAGTTGAAGAAGCGACAGAAGTGACGAAGCGCTCGCTTCTGTTAAGAGGGCCATTTTTTAAATAAAAAAAAAGTTTGGGTCTGTTTTTTTATTATACAAAACACACCCCTAAGACCACAATTGACCATTTCTTCTTCTCTCTTCTTCGATCGACCAAAGCCTAGAGTTTCAACTTCATCGACATTGCTGACCAGCACCAGTGCAGGTAAATTTCTTCTTCTCATTTTTTCTTTCTTCTTCTTGTTCCCGTCCAGATTCTGCTCTTTTTTCTTCTTTCTTTCTTCCTTCTTCTTCTTCTCTTCTCTTTTTCACTTTTTCTTGTCCAGCGTCTGCACAGCTAGGGCAGGCGCTGGTTTTCTTTTTTTCCCCCTTTTATTTTTCTTAATTTTAATGTATTTTAGTTTATAAAATTACTTATCATATATATATATATATGTGTGTAATATTTTTCAGTTTATTTGATTTTTTAATGTGTATTTCAGTTTAGAAAATTAGTTGGTATATATATATATATATATATATATATATATATATATATATATATATATATATGTGTGTGTGTGTGTGTGTGTGTGTGTGAGAGAGAGTGTGTTTTAAGAATTGCGCTTCACTTCAATGAAATGAAGCGTACGCTTCGCTTTTGAAGCGAGGCGAGCTCCTGTCACTTTTTTGCGCTTCGCGCTCTCAAAAGCACTACCTTACAGGGGTAAACATAAGCACTACATTACTTAAAAGATAGACAAGGAGGGACAACACCAAAAAGCCGCGTAAAAGCAGCATAAAAACAACACGATAATAAGATGATCAAAATGAAAGAAAACGGGTAGTCATAGAAACCTACTACCAACATAATGCGAGAGTGCGTACTAATACTACTGGTATGAACAATCTACCACCTACCCTACTATCCTAATCCTCGACCTCCACACCTTCCTATCAAGGGTCATGTCCTCGGTCAGCTGAAGTTGCGTCATGTCTTGCCTAATCACCTCTCCCCACTTCTTCTTCGGCCTACCTCTACTTCTCCATAGGCCCTCCAATGTCAACCTCTCACACCTGCTCACCGAGACATCTGTGCTCCTCCTCATCCCATGTCCAATGTTTCAACTAACTGGTGAGATTAATAATGGAGAACACATAATGATTCTCAACCACACCGTGTTTATGCTGCAAGATGCTTCCACAAACCCCATTAAACAATTCTGCAAGTTGAAGTCTAAAAACGGTTCAGATCCCAACTTGTGCATGACCCTTGGTGAAATTTATCTGTGAAGCTAATTGCAGCTACCCGAATGCTAGTGATAAACACAAAAGTGCACACTTAGTCCAAGAATGGTTTGTGTATCCCAGACATAAGTTTATAGGGCTCCTCCACTGCAATGACAAAGAATAGTTTTATCTGATTGCACCAGAATATCTCACTCTCCTAAAGTAATCAATAAGGGGAAAAGGAATGGAGTAATTCACCCATTATAATTGTAATCCAAAAATTATCACATGGACAATGAAGAAAGTAAATAAGATACAAGACCAGAAAATCAGAGTTGAATCTAGAATTCGAAGACAGTAGATGCCTGGCCTAAAAATCAAATGATCAATGAACTAACTATGCCTCAATTCCAAGCTAGTTGAGTTAGTGATATGTATCCTCACTATATTTCATCACTTAATATTATACACATTTTAGATTTTTTAAAAACTTTTTACTATATACATATAAAAAGTCCAAACTCAGGCAGTGAACCACTACTTATATGCTGGATCCCTCGACTAAATTGCATTACAGATCCTATAACTTTATCTACTTGAATTGGGTAATCAAAAAGACATGCAAAAGCATATCCCTTTCCCATTTTTCGACTAAATCAACGTTGTAAAAGTTGGTTGACATGGTTGTTGTGAAACTTTCTTTATGTAGTTCAAGCTCAAGGCAATGGTCACTGCTTATATATGTTGGATCCGCCTCTACAACAATAACGATCCAGTAAAATTCCACCAGTGGGGTCTGGGGAGGGGAGTGTGTACGCAGACCTTAACCGGGATAGAGAGGCTGTTTCCGAAAGACACTCGGAAAAGAACAAAGACAATATCAGTACCACCAATAGAGACCATATGAATAATAATAACATCATAAAGACCAGAAAATAGATGAAAGACAGAAGCGATAGTCAGTGAAAAGACCCGGCACTATGAAAACGAAAGAGTAGTGAGACATGTTGGATCCGCCTCTGTATTAAAGAAAATCATTACAGATCCTATAAGTAACTACATCCAATTGAATTGGGTATTGAACAATTAATCACCAGGAGTTTATTTCTTTTCTTTCTTTTTTTTTAAAATAATTTTTTTAATTTGCTAACATTGTAAAAATTGTTTCTTTCTCCTAAGGATTTCTGATTTGGGGAAGATATAGGAAGTAGTGCAAGTAAGTACCTTGTAAGAACCATCATCTTTGGCTATGCCGAGTCGCTTGATCTCTTCTTTGAGTCGTTCAACCTCTTCTTCAACGTTCATGGTTCCTGTCAATGGAGTTGAACAGATCTATCTTATTCTCACATTTTTCTCATTCTTATATACTCCCCACTTGATCAGATCATTCTTTGTACAAATTTTAATATCTCCCATCAACTTCACAGAAATATCACATTGCCCTTCTCTTTTATATGCCTAATGCCCCGCTCTTTTTCTTCACGTTACACCATAGTTCGCTTGATATGAAAAGAATTAAACTTATATCCAGCTACTTTATAAAGAAGTTTTTGAAAGTGTATAAAGTTTTACTCACGAGTTAAGTAACTTAGAGCCCGTTTGAATTGGCTTATTCTAAGTGCTTTTAAGCTAAAATGGCTGTTAAGCTATTTTGTAGTGTTTGGATAAAGTAAAAAAAGTGCTTTTAAGCACTTATTTTTAAGCTAAAATGACAAAAACAAAAGTCAAAAGCTAGAAATCCTAACTTATGGCTTAAAAGTTATTTTGACTTAAAAGCTACTTAAAATAAGCCCATCCAAACGGGCTCTTACAATATTAGGTAATTTCTCATAATAAGTAAACTAGTATTAGTACCCGCGCGGATGCGCGGACACTAATTATGTCAAATATTTAAGTTATTTGGATTGTATGTAAATAATCTTAAAATTTACACTTTCTCACTAAATATAGATAATCATTGGATATTAACTACATGAAAAAAATTAACCATTTCTATTTTTCCTTTTTGATACCATTCTTGGCGGTATCTTTGGATCTTAAAAATACTCAGAAGCAAAATAATAACTCATATTTATGGCAAAACAATCAAATGTTGAGACAATGAATGACTCTTTAGATAAGACTTAACACTTTTACTACTGCTTGTACTCTTATTTGGTGTGTTGATATCTCTTAAAAAATATTTCTTTCTTACAATTTCAGTTTCCAAAACATTATTTTTCAATAATAATTATTTTTATAATAATGTAATTGAAAATATTATTCTTAATTCAAAACTTATTTTAGTTGGCTATCTAAAATTATAAAAAAAAATTAGCTAGTGAATTTTTTTTTACTCCATTTTGATATTTGACATTAATCATGTTAAATATCTGAGTTATTTGAATTATATGTAAATAACCTTAATATTTAAACCTTCTAAATAATTATAGATAATCGTCAGATATTAATTAAGAAACACTACATGAAAAAAAGACTAACATTTTTCAATTCTCGTGGTGATAATTTTATTTTTGCACTATTCTTATAGGTGTCATCGGAACCAAAAAATAGCTACAAAGTAAAATAATAACTCATAGTTATGGCAAAGCACAAAGGTTGACACGATATAAACCATTCTTTGATTACGATGTGACTCTTATACTACGACTTGAACTCTTATTTGGTATAAGTTTATCTTTCAAAAAATATTTTTATTTTGAAATTTCAATTTCTAAAACTTTATATATATTATAATAACGATTATCTTTATAACGATGCAAGTGAAGATATTATCCTTAATTTAACATACACTTTAATCGGCTATCTAAAAATTTAAATGATTCTTTGGCCGGATTTATTTCATTATGACTCCACTTTAAGTTTATCGATATCTCTAGCCCCAGAATTTGAATGTTTAATACCCTATATATACAATAATTTTGTTCTTTGAATCATTAAATGTTAATTAGTTGATTATTATTATAAAAATATTGCATATATTGTCTTAAAATTATCAAGTAGTTTATTTTTCGACACCATACTTGGCCTAACCTCATGCAAACTACTCAAATTGCATTCCAATTCAAATTCGAATATCATATCAATTTGTTAGTAATAGAGATTTTTTTAAAACGGCGCATAATGTAAACTAAAAAAATATTCTAAGATATCATTATCTTATAATCTATCTATTTGAGTTGAAAAGAAAATATTTGAAATCGATGAGATTAACTTTCAAAATTTTTATACTCAACAAAGATGAAACATAAAAAGAATTTGTTGTGATCTTTTATTTCTCGTTTTTAGATTTTTTTAACATTTTCTTCAATATTTATTTTCTTTTATCTTATTATTTCTTTTGTTACAAAAAGTTAATTATTTCACTATAAAAGGATGAGTTTTAATAAAAATTGTCTACATATGAACTTTAATTATATTTTTAATCTTTGTTTGAAATTATTTCATATTTTTCTTTTGGCTTTATCTAATCAGCCTAAATAGGTGCTCACCCAGACCACTTAAATTAAAAAATTGAATGATGTGTAATTTAAATATAATTCATATATAATATGTGTATAATCGTGTGCTGTCGGTATATCATCTATTTATATTAGCTATAAAAAGCAAACAATAAATATGGCCTGATATTATGTAAATATTCCATAAGATTTCGGTTTTTTTAGTTTATCCATGATATAACTTCTATTATATTAATTTTAAAACTCTCCACTAATGTTCAAAAATATCTTATCTTTTTATTATCTTTGAATTAAAAAAAAGTAAAAGAGTTTTTTCGAAATAATTTGTTTACATTTAAAAAAAAGTATTTCACGTCATACCTATTTTCTCTTTATATATACTATTTGCTACACTTAAAAGTCACTATAGAAACTATCAATTAGAAATCAATTTCTCTCTTGTTGAGTTTAAAAAAAAAAATCTTTCACTCAATCTAATGATTCAAAACTAACATTCTTCAACGAAAAAAATATTATACCCTTGCAATATTGGCTTGACTATAACTAAATGAAGGGGTTTCAGCTTATATCCTTCAATTTCTTGAATGTGCTACATTGAAATTAATGATAGTAATTGTATGCCAAAGTTTTGTTATTTGTTTCATGTCCGTTTATGCAAATTGACTCTTCAAACAAATATTCTTCAAGAATAAAAAAAGAAACAACTTTTTTTTTTTTTAATATTGACTGATTTTGTGATGTTTCTTTCTCTAGCATGTATGTTTACTTTATTATATATGTAAGTAAACTTTTATTTGGTTTTGTAAACTCTTTTTTGTTATTTAGATAAACATAAACGTGTATCCTATATATTACATTTATTTTAAAAGAATTTCGTTTTATTCAAATCTAGCTACAGTGTTTCAAAGAACTATACTTATAGGATTTCAAATGTGAAAGAGTGTTAGTTATATGGAGTAGTTTGTTTTTTTTTTTTTTTTGCTAGAGGCGAAGTAGTATTTAAATAATTAGAAAAAATAACAAAAGTTCCTAACATGATTGCATATGATCCTTAACCGAATTAAGTATGATAACATGATAAAAAAAGATAAATTTTATTTTTTATTTAAATCGAATTATAGAACTTTATCTATAAATTCAAAATTATCTTTTTAATTCAAATTCCGTATATATATATATATATGTGTGTGTGTGTGTGTGTGTGTGTGTAAGTCAGGTTTTAATTTGAAGGGGATGGGTTTTGGGCTGATGGGTTCAAGTGTATTTGGATTGGGTAGGAAAATTTGGGCCTAATTTGGGTACAAGAACTAGATCAATATCCAATTAAATCTTTTTTTCAAATTCTTTTTTTTCTTTTTACTTTAATTAATAAATCCTAAAATTAAAATCCTAGGTTATCTAAAAATGTGAAATTAAACTAATTAACTAATTACAAAAATTATAAAAACTACTTAATCCTAAATTAAAAGATAAAAATCAATAACCTNAAAATAGCCACAAAGTGAAATAATAACTCATATTTATGGCAAAGCACAAAGGTTGACACGATATAAACGATTCTTTGATTACGACGTGACTCTTATACTACGACTTGAACTCTTATTTGGTATGATTTTATCTTTCAAAAAATATTTCTATTTTGAAATTTCAATTTCTAAAACTTTATATATATTATAATAATGATTATCTTTATAATGATGAAAGTGAAGATATTATCCTTAATTTAAAATTCACTTTAATCGGCTATCTAAATATTTAAATGATTCTGTCGCCAGATTTATTTCAGTATGACTCCACTTTAAGTTTATCGATATCTCTAGCCCCAGAACATGAATTTTTAATACTCTATATATACAAAAATTTTGTTCTTTGAATCATGTGACGACCCAAAGGGGTCATCACCTGTTTCCTCATTTATTCTGTGCTTCCAAGGCCTTGAAAACCTCATTTTTACTTGCCTCGATTTGCGTGCGCAGTCCGGGCGCGTAGCCGGAAAAGCTTAAATATGAGTTCTGTGTGAAAAATGATGAATTTTGATATTAATATGATTAAAGTTGACTTTGATCAACATTTTTGGTAAACGGACCCGGACCCGTGATTGGATGATCCCGGAGGATCCGTAGAAAAATATGGGACTCGGGCATATGCCCGGAGTCGAATTCCGAGGTCCTGAGCCCGAGAAATGAATTTTTCTGTGAAATTATTTTTCTGAAATTTATATGAAAATTTGAAATGAAAATTGATTAAAAGACTGTGGTATCGGGCTCGTATTTTGGTTCCGACGCCCGGTACAAGTCTTATATATGGTTTAAGAGCTTTCTGTGAAATTTGGTTGAAATCGGACATCATTTGACGTGTCTCGGACCCAAATATCTAAAATTTGAAGTTTATGAAGTTTGATGAAAAAGTGATGATTTTGAGGTTTGATTCCTCGTTTTTGATGTTATTTTGGAGATTTAATCGCATGGTTAAGTCCGTAAGATGTTGTCGAGTTAGTGTGTGTGATTGGTTAGGAGCCCCGAGGCTCGGGAGTGTTTTCGAAGATTTTCGGGGTAGTTTTGGACTTAGGGAGTTAGCAGATTTTCTGCAATTTTTACACAGGGATTTTCTTCATCGCGTTCGCACTAGCCCTCCCGCGTTCGCATAGCCTTGCTCCCTTTTCTCCTTCGCGTTCGCGTTCTGGCCATCGCGATTGCGAAGCTTTGCTGCTTCCTTCAACGCGTTCGCGTGCCTCCTCACGCGTTCGCGTAGGCCCAAATCCCAGACCCCAGCCATTTACTCTACGCGTTCGCACTCCCCCTGTCGTGAACGCGGTGCTTCCCAGCCCCCCCTTCTTCGCGAACGCGACCCCCCATGTCGCGAACGCGAAAGGCAAATTTGTCCAGCGATTTTAAATAC